TGAAGGTATACTGTAAGTTAAAAATGTATAATAAAATCTCCAGAGATAAAGTTAATTAAGCCAATAGTGGGCATAAACAGAATTTCAAAAAATCAACAACAACAACAAAAAAAGCAGGACAAGAAAAAGGAAACAAAAAATGGAACAAATAAAACAAACAGCAAAGTAACAGACTTAAATCCAATCATACCAATAATTACATTAAATATAAATAATCTAAACAGCCCAGTAAAAACGCAGCGATTCTCAGAGTAAAAAAGTAAGACCCAACTATATTTTGCCTATTAAAACGCAGACTTGAAATATAAAGACACAGATATATGGAAAGTAAAACAACAGAAAAAGACACACCATGCAAACACTAATCATAAGAAAGCCAGAGTAGCTCTATAATATAGGTATCAAAGAATTTTACCAAGGATAAAAAGCAACATTTCATAATGATAAATGAGTCATCTCATCACAATGACAAGAATCCTGAAGGTATCTGTACCTAAAAATAGAGATGCAGAATATGAGAAAAAAACTGAGAGAAATGTATGGAAAAATATACAAATCCCCAACGACAGTTAAGATTTCAACATTCTTCTCTCAGTAATAGAATAACAGAAAATCATTAAGGATCAGTAAGGACATAGAATACTTGAATAGCACTGCCAATCAACTTGACCTGATAGACATTTACAGAAGATTCCACCAAAAAACAGCAGAATACACATTCATTTCAAATGTATACGGAATATTCACTAAGATAGGCCATATATGGGATGATAAAAAGAAGTCCCAATGAACTTAAGAGGACTGAAATCACACAGTGTATGTCCTCTGATCAAAAAAAAAATTAAATTTAAAACTAGTAACAGAAAGATAACCAGGAAATCCCCAAATATTTGTAAATTATAAAATACAACTTTAAAATAACCAATGGGTCAAATTTCCACAAGGGAAATTTTAATATATTTTGAACTGAATGAAAATGAAAACCCATTTCAAAATGTGGAGATTACACAGTAAAAGTCATGGTTAGATAAATACACAGTTTTAGATGCTTTATTGTAAAAGAGAAATGTCTAAAGTCAGTGATCTAAGCTTCCATTTTAAGAAGCTAGAAAACAAAGAGCAAATTATACCTAAAGTAAGCTGAAGTAAATAATGATAAGAACATAAATCAATGATTTAGAAAACAGAAAATAGAAAAAAATCAATGTAACCAAAAATTGGTTCTTTGAAAAAAATCAATTAAATTCTTAAATATCTAGCTAGACTGATCAAGAAATAGAGAAAACACAAATCACTAATATGAATGGAAGAAAGAACATCAGCACAGACCCTACAGACACAAGGATAAAAGAATACAAGGGAATGTTACAAACAATTTTGCCAGTAAACTTAAAAACTGAGATGAAATGGAAAAATCTTTGAAAGACACAAATTACTAACCCTGACACAAGAAATAGAAAATGTGAATAGCCCTACATGTATTAAATAACTGATTTCATTATTGAAAATTTCCCACAAAGAAAACTACACCTACATGAGCTTCACTTAAAAAATTCACTGAACCAGATAAAATAATCCTATACAAACTCTTGGAAAATAGAGGAGACAAGAACACTTCCCAACTCATTCTATGAGGCCAACATTACCCTGATACCAAAATCAGACAAAGATATTACACACACACACACACACACACACACACAAAAAAAACAAATTTCTTAACATAGTATTAACAAGTCAAATCCAACAATATATAAAAAGGATAATACATAATGCCCAAGAAGGGTCTGTCCAAGGAATGCAAGCTTAGTTTAACATTCACTAGAAAAAAACCATGTGATCATCTCAAAAGATGCAGAAAAAGCATCTGACAAAATTCCATGGCCACTCATGATTAAAACAGTCAACAAAGTAGGAATAGAAGATAATTTCTTCAATCTGATAAAATCTGATAAAAGGCATCTACAAAAAACCTACAGGTTTTCTCCTTAAGATCAGGATTAATATTGTTACTGTGGGTCTTAGCCAGTACAGTAAGACAAGAGAAAGAAATAAAATGCATTCATATTTAAAAAGAAAGAAGTAAAATACTCAGAGACAATATGTTTGTGTACCTTAAAAAAACCTCAAGAAGCCTATAAATTAGCTACTACATCTAATTAATGAATATTATCAAGGTCACAGAATACAAAGTTAACACACTATAATCAATTTTATTTCTATACACTAACAACAAAAAATTGAACAAAAAAAATTCAAAACTTCTGCTCTTTGAGAGACAGTGTTGAAATAAAATGCAAGTCACAAACTGGGAGAAAACATCTGACGAAGGATTTGTAACCAAATATATCAGGAAGTCTTACAATTCCATAAAAATAAAATAACAATCCCATAAAATAATGAGTAATGAAGTGAACATACGCTGCACAAAAGAAGATGCACAACTGGGCAATAAGCACATGAAATACTGTTCAATACCATTAGTATCAGGGAAATGCAAACTTCAACTTCTATGAGATACCACTGACTAGTCGCAAGAAATTTTAATTTCAGCTAGACTGAAATACTAACTGTTGGTGAGGATGTAGGGCAACTGTAACTGTAATACATGCTTCTACACAAGGTATACAATCACTTTGTGAAACAGCCTGGCATTTTCTTACACAGGTAAACATACATTTAACATACAACCCAGTAATTCTCATTTTACATGCATCCAAAAGAAATGAAAACATACATTCACCCCTAAACTTGCACATAAATGCATAGCAATTTTTCATGATAGTCAAAACCAAAACAACCCATCTCCATCCACAGATAAACTGTGGTACAGCCTTATGATGGAATACTATTTAACATAAATATCCATGACATAGCAAAAAATCATAGATGAATCTCACAAGCATTAAGCTAAATGAAAGAAGCCAGGCACACGCACACACTGTATCTCTTTGGCATGATTACATTTACATAAAATTCTAGAGAATATGGACCTAATCTTAAATGACAAAAGAATTTCAGCGGTTGCTTAGGAATGCCTTGGTGGTGTAGGTGTGGGGGAAATTGCAAGAAGCCTTTCATTTCCTCCACTAAATATAAAGCATCCCTCTACTTTCCCATAGGACATTCAACATACTTGGGAAACTCATGATATTATACCTTGGGCCCCATCAGTATTGTCTGTTGCTAACCAAGATGCAAAGGTTCTACAGGACTGTCTACCACAAAATGGGATCAGACTAAATTTTCTTAGTGAATGCTGAATGAGTAAGTGGCACAAGAATGAAAATTCTTTAGGGTAACTTCTGGGCATGAAGTTTGTTCAATGTGGTGCTAACCCCCAGGACCAAGAGCAGTGGCTATAAAATATAAAAGCTCATGTTCCTAGGTCAAGAGCCTTAAAAGGTGAGGAAGTGAAGGTGCTTACAACTGAGGTGGATATTCTATTTTAAGGAGGTGAGGGGAGCAGTAATGACCAACCACTATGCATTCTTGAGCAGCGCTTTTCTACATCTCAGCCAAAGTTCTATTTTTGGGGGGACTGAAACATTTTCTACTCAGGCCTATTCTATTTTCTTCAAGTTCACTCTTAAACTCTTCTCAGAATCATGAGACAAGAACTGTATATACCGTAAAGCTCATGAAGCTTAAGCATCAGGGTTGCTCACCTACACAGTTCCTGTAACAAGGAGGCATTTTGAAATGGCATGTCTGGCAAACTGTGTAAAGAAATCACTACAGAAAGGGACCTAATCTCCAAGACTCCCATAATTTTGTCGTGATTCGCTCATTCTGAATATTCACTTTCATATCTAATTTTGAAGTATTTTTCTTGAAAAAGGAATCTCCTCTCCCAAACTGAATGAGGAGGAAGTGAAGCTAATTCCCAAAGAATAATAAAGAAAAAGGTAAATGTAGAACAAAAAGCTACTTGGAACTTTCATAAAACACCTCCTAACATTCCCCTCCCCCCCAACCCCTCCACCCCTCGCCCAAAAAAGATCCATCTTTAGTAAATAGAGAATGTCAAAGATCCAAAAAACACAATGTGGAACGCCACCCTCGGTCTTTAAAGAGGGGTGGTGGTGGTGAAAAGGTGAAATAAACTCTGGACCTATCAGAGGGGCTGAAAGACAAGGGAGGAACGTCCTTGACTGCTCTGTTTAAACCAAGGGAAGACCTTCCCCGGGAACACCAAGTTTCTATCACAGACCCGGTCCTGGGACACCTAGGGAAACAAACGCACCGGGGTCCGCTCTCCAGGTGGTAGGTGCAATCTCCCAGCTTGTCCCTTCCGATTTTGCAGAGCACACGACTTGCCCTAGAGCCATGGCTGGGAAAAGGTGGAAGGGCAGTAATGAGCGGGGAGCGAGAACGGAAGGAGTAGGGTGGGAGGGAACGACAGAGACGCTCCAGAAGGGGCACACAGTGAGAATGCGCAAAACGGTGTTTTACAACCTTAGATCTCCCTCCCCTAATAGCCAGGGCCTAGGTGAGGTGAAGTGCAATAAGAAAAAGTAAATATGGAACATGAAATGTCTGTTGTTTTACTCGGCCTTTACATATGTCAGACTGAAATTTCAGAAAACGTCACCAAACTTCCAAAAAGGATCCCAAGTGAGAAAGACGGACTTGAAGACCCCGTGAAGGAAACCAATGGGGGAAGGGTAAAGGAGCCCGTGAATTCCGCAGTGAGGCGATGAGGGCGGGTGGCTAGCGGGGCTGAGACACGCTCGGGGGGTCCTGGAAGGGGAGGAAAGTCCACCCGGCCAGCTTCTCCCCAGCTGCCCGCCGGCTGCCCAACACGGAACGCGCGCACCCGGGGTCCGCGGCGTACCAGCAGCGCCCGCCCGCGTCCTCCCGCTCATCCGCGCCTGCCTAGCCGGGCGCGCCCCTAGCCCCGGCCGGACCCTGGACGGCAACTCGTCGGCGCCCGCGCGGACTACAGCCAGGAGCCACGACCGCCGCGGCCGGAGCGAACGCCACCTCCTCACACTCACCACGGCGCTCCATCCCGCGTCCCAGACGCGGACGCCCGCCCCACACCTACGGCCGCCTCCACCGCCGAGGGCTGGAGCTCGCCGCCCCCATCCCTCACGGCCCGCGGACGCCCGGCCAAGCCGCAGCCGCAGCGGCAGCCACAGACACCACCACCACAGCGGCCGCCGCCCCTGCAGCAACCCCCACAGCCGCGCCGGCCGCCCGCCCCGCCCCCTGGAGCCCAGCCCATTGGCCTGGTCTGCGCTCCCGGGGGCGGTGTCTGCGACCGCGGCAGGTGGGGGCGGCTGTAGCTCGCGCGCTGAAGGCAGCGGTCAGCTGTGCCCGGCCTGAAATTGTCCCAGCATCCCGGGCCGCCTAAAGTTACCCTAAAGAATTTTCATTCTTGTACCACTTACTCATTCGGCCGCCCTTTTGACTTGCAGCGGGGCAGGCGGAGCGACTTAGAGGAAAAGTCACCTTTTGTACCCTCCTGCAGGGAGCAGGTTCTCTGTCCTTGTTAAATTAGACATTTCTCAGATGGACACTTTGAACTCCTTCCAGTCAGGACTCAGGTCTTCAACTTGTTTTGTCGGCCGTCTTCCTCCACCCTTCTTCTCCCATTCAAAACAAAAGTACATTTTGTGCTTAACTTTAAAACTTCCCCCACTCTTTTCTGTGTTCAACTGATTGTCACTTTCAGCAAACTAAATAAATTACTCAAAACATCAGCTATTATACAGTCCGCGGCACATGGCAGGTGCTCAGTAGATGCTAGTTGATTGCACGTCCCTAACCACGCCACGTGCTTCTTACCATTAGGTGCTCCTTGAGTCATGGGACTGATCAACACGGTGGGGGAAGGCACAACCAAAATAAAGCATTTATCTAGATGTTGGATTACACATCATATCATGTTTGGAGGAAAACAAAACACTGAATTTATATATAATATATGTTAGTAACACTTACCAACTCTACTAAGAATACCTTTCAAACTGTGCTGACACATAAGCACTCCCTGAATATTAGCTGATTAATGGGTAAAATTATGGAAAGGGAGTTTGGAAAAATCACTTAATGTCATCTTCCCTTTAAATATTTTTCAAAAAGATTACATATCTATCATATTCTTCACCCTTCTTCGTTAGGAGAAATATATTTGAAAACATTCTCAAAGGAAGATGGTAGTTTTTGTTTTTGCTTTGTTTTTAGAGAGAGACAGGGCCTTTCTCTGTGCTCAGGCTGGAGTGCAGTGGCACAGTCATAGCTCACTGAAGCCTGGAACTCCTGGACTGAAGGAATACTCCCACCTCAGCCTCCTGAGTAGCTGGGACTACAGGCTGGTATCACCACACCCAGCTACTTTTATTTTTATGTTTCATGGAGATGGAGTCTTTGCTGTGTTGCCCAGGCGTCTCAAACTCCTGGCCTCAAGGGATCCTCCTGCCTCATCCTCCCAAAGTGCTGAGATTAGAGGTGCGAGCCACCACATCTGGGTCATTTTTATAAGTAAATATGATTATTAACTGAGAAAGAGTGAATGTCAAACCTCTGCTATGTGGGACAAGTGGCTGTGTTTGGCAAAGAAACTAAAAAATAAAGGGCAATATCTCCACCACATCCTCTAACACTGACTCAGCATGTGCCCTGAATCATCCTTATAAGCCAACTAGGTTTTTTACCTTTAAATGTTTCTTCATTAAAGTGGCTTGTGATCATGGTTTTGGAGGATAAGGACTAACAGACACACAAACAAGAAATCAAAGGCATAACTGGATACTGCATTAATGAAGCATATATGACAGATGATGTGGTATTATTTTATAATTACAGTATATATTAACACATATCCACTCTGCTTATTGAAATATTCTTCATTCCTTCCATGATAGAGAATCCTGCGCCTGCTCTGAAGCCGTTCTGTTCTCTTCAGTGAAAATTAGTCATCCGCCAGGCGCAGTGGCTCATGCCTGTAATCCCAGCACTTTGGGAGGCCGAGGTGGGCGGATCACCTGAGGTCGGGAGTTTGAGACCAGCCTGGCCAACTTGGAGAAACCCCATCTCTAGTAAAAATACAAAAAATTAGCCAGGTGTAGTGGCGCTTGCCTGTAGCCCCAGCTCTTGGGAGGCGGAGGCAAGAGAATCGCTTGAACGCGGGAGGTGTAGGCTGTGGTGAGCTGAGATTACGCCATTGCACTCCAGCCTGGGCAACAAGAGTGAAACTCCGTCTCAAAAAAAAAAAAAAAAAAACAGGAAGGAAAGAAAATTAGTCACCCTATTTGACATCATATTGTACATAGGATACTATTCTTGTGGCACTTGTGGTTTTGGTGCCATGGTTTTTGGCAGTGTTTATGCTAATTACATTGAAAGTTCCACACTACCACATTAGTTAGGTCTGTATCTAATCCAGAATGGGTCCCCACTAAGAATTTTCTGGAGGGATGCTGAGGGAATGATCAGTAGGTCCAGAAGTAAAAATTCTTCCAGTGTGATTTTTTTTTTAAATCACAAACTGTGTTAAATTGGTTGTATCTAGTAGAACCAAATATGATGGTCACAAAAACCTCACGTCTAAAGCAAAGTCTATCCCAGATATCCTGTTCCCTGAGGTGAAGGGGCTGATCACAAACGTGCATGTTGCATGTGGCTGGTGGAGGTAGGAGCCCAGCCCCACAGGGGAGCAGAGTGGACAGGTGATCTTCCCTCTGCCACGCTTGAACAGCAGTCTGTATAAGAGGGACCCACATTGTCCATCATGTCTATTGTATTTTTATTGATTCCACAAATATTTACTGAGTACCTCTAATGTGGCCAGACATTGTTCTGAGCACAGGGGATATATCAGGGAATTTTAAATCCACTCTCAGATTCTCCTCAACCATGATGAATAATGCCTGGAAGAGGGGAAGAAATAATGGAAACCTACAATGGTGGCCCCAAGGCAGGCAGTCCTTGGACTCCCTGGACTGCGGCTGTCCTTGACCTCACTGCTGGGGCACGTAAAAAGAACGACTCAGAGCCTGACAGGCCACAGTGAGTACAAAGCCTCTAGATTCCAAGGTGGACAAAACTCACCAAGCAGGTTATTAATCTTGATTCCATGATGGGTGTAATTGAGAAACAAGGCATCAATTCAGACCTCATGCTGGAAATGAATGTGAAAGACATTACCAACATCCAAGAATTCTGTGCTGTCATGAGAACAGGAAACTAAGACTGACAAAAATAAAGAAATATTTGAGTATATAGATAAGGATATCATACTCATGTTATGTCCAGATTAAGTTACTGCATTTCAAATTCCAACTTTTAATGTATTTTAAACTTTCTTATAAGACTTTGATGATATAAACCTGTGTGCTTGAGCCATCACATACCATAACCCTATCTGATGTCTTAGTAACATGTATAAAGTAACTCCCTTAATAATTTATGGTCAGTGCCAAAAATAATATTAGCCTTAAAAATGCAATTATTGATACTACTGTGAATAAAAAGATTACGGTGGTAGTAGTAATAACTAGCCATTTATAGTGTACTCCATGCTAGTAAACTATAAATGGCTAGTTATTGTGCTAATGATACACTTTTAATTATACTTTACATTTCATAAATTATTCAGTCCTCACAATAACCTATGAAGTGCCATTATTATTATTGTTATTATTATCATTGAGATGAAGTCTGGCTCTGTCGCCCAGGCTGGAGTGCAGTGGCGCGATCTTGGCTTACTGCAAGCTCCGCCTCCCGGGTTCACACCATTCTCCTGCCTCAGCCTCCTGAGTAGCTGGGACTACAGGTGCCCGCCACCACGCCCAGTTAATTTAAAGTATTTTTAGTAGAGATGGGGTTTCACTGTATTATCCAGGATGGTCTTGATCTCCTGAGCTCGTGAGCCGCCCACCTCAGCCCCCCAAAGTGCTCGGATTACAGGCATGAGCCACCGTGCCTGGCCTATCATGCCCATTTTATAAATGAAAAGCTGAGACACAGAAGAAGTTCAATAAAGAATTTCTGCTGGACTTTATAAAAATTGACATTAACATGAAGTTAAGTTTGACCATACCTCTCTTAGAAAAAGATATTAGGAAATGACTCCTCTTCTTCTACTTCTGACTCTCTGTCCTTCTTTCTTTTCCCCAGGTACCCCAAAGTCCCTCTTGCCTCAGGACTTTTGACTTTGCTGTTTCCTGTGCCTGGAATTGGCTTTTCCCATACGTCTGTGTGACTTGTTCCTTGCTCCCCTTTCTTTGCTCCCTTCTGGTCTCTCCTCAAATAGTCCAGATTATTGACATCTTCCTTGACTCCTCCATAAAAATAGCACCCACCTTTTTGATACTCCCTGTCTTCCTTACTCTGCTTAACTTCTGCACTTATCCCTCTACTGACTTGATATAGATTTATTCGTTTATTTACAGATTTTTTAAATGTCCCCTTACTAGTATGGGTATATTAAGTTCTATGAAAGAAGGGACTCTGCCTGCTTTGTTCACCGCTGTGTTTCCAGCCCTTGGAAAAGTACTTGGAATTCATCAACAAATGAAAGATTTAAAGAAAATAACAATACATATACCCAAACATTAGAGTTATCTTTTGAAAAGATTAATTTGTTAACTTTTTGAGAGTTTTAATCAGATAAGAGAACCACATTACTTTGTTTGAGAATGATTTTACTTTAGCTGCTTGTAACCAATATACTAACATATGACAAGTTTCATGACTTCAGCAAATATTTATCTGAAAGAGCCGTAAGTAACTCAAGGATCTTACATTATGAAGTCCTACTCATAGCGTGGTTCCCTTTCTTGGATTTCTGGACTCTGCTAGTTTAGAGGCCTTCGTAACTTAAGGAAGAATGCTTCTTCCAAGGAACACAATTTTATCATAGAAGTAAAAGTGAAGCCTCTGGTCATTTGCCTCTGTTACTTTCAACGGGTAAATAAAGGATAGTTGCAGCGTTGGCTGGGGTGTTTGTCAAAGATCACCCTGTGCCGTAGAGGCAGGAGAAGTAGTCCAGGGAGTCCTCAGGCAAACCTCCTGACATTCAGGGGCAGGTTAGTAGACAACCACAGCCTGACCCTGCCCATGCTACCAAGGGTGTACTTACATCAGTAAAAAATGTTGGAATCACGCCAAACAATCAGAACAACCCAATCAGCCAAAGTTTTAGAGTAAGGGAAAGGTAACAAATCCCCATGGCCTTGTAAGTATTCTAATAAAACGTCTCTAATGAAAAAAAAAAAAAAATCTTAAATTATTTCCTTCCTTCTTTAAAGTAGAGGGGTGAACATTTTCTGTGATTGTTTTTTTCTTTCATCGATTCACCAAATGCTGACTAG